TCTCTTATACACATCTAGATGTGTATAAGAGACAGGTTTAATAGTGGACTAGTGTAGTTGGATTATGAGTATTCGAGGTTTGTAAATTTGCTTGGGCGACACGTGTCTATAGCTTTTTTTGCGTTTGCCCTGCCATGCCCTTGTCGTGTGCTCTGCCTTAATTTCGCACCTAGCCGGCTTTCCTTGATTAGAAAGGGGAAGGTCACCATGATGTATGTATGTGATCATATTGGTCTTTGGTAACTAGTTTTTTTTTTTTTTTTTTTTTAATAAGTAACTCGTATTTTTAACAGTTTGTGACATTAAAACGATCAATCATTGAATAATAATGAGAGCAGCAGGAGGGAATTTCTTGCGGTGCGGTGGCAACCTGAAAAACAGTTGTTGGTGCCTTATTCCTGATCGATGCCCAGTGAAGTGCTTCCTCTTCCTTTCTTTCTTTCCTTTTTTCTTTCTTTCTTTCTTGTTTACTTTCTTTCTTTTCTTTCTTTCTTTCTTTCTTTTTTTTGTCTTTCTTTCTTTCTTTTTTTTCTTTCTTTCTTTGGCTGGGACCCCACAGGAATGAGGAAATGAAAAAGGTTGCCGCCCACACCCGGCGGAAAAGATTCTGGAAAAGCCGAAACGTCTTCCAAAGACTGTTTTCTGGGACCCACTGCCACATTTTGTGCCCTGGAAGATGGTGTGTCGACGTTTTCACATCGTCTGTGGTCCGGAAATGGCTGACAGCAGGAAATTCCGCCGTGACATTGTGCCGAAAGCGGAGGATGGTCGTGGGTGCCAATGTCAACTTTTCCAAGGTCAGGTCCCATTGTCGGTCGGACCATATAGAGTGTCCGCCCATGCATCGTCTGCCCTGTGTCACCCACAATCCATGCCAAGGCCGGTTCCTCAGGTCCAGCCACAGTGTCCTGGACACCCCAGCACTTTCGGCCACTACCCACGTGCCTTTCCTCTTAAGAAAAAAGAAAACTGCTTTGCTGTAAAACATACTCTGCGATGGGGTCCCGGAAAAAGTACTTTCCCACCTTCCGAAATGATTTGCCCTCTTTTCGTGGCCAAACGTCTTTCCCATCCTCACTGCAGTGGGGTCCTAGCCGTTGGGGTGGACCCCACTGCTCGGCGGCCTGGGAAAAAAAATCTAGGCCGGTGGCACTCATCTGGAAACCTGCATGGGAACCCACACTGGAAAGGTTTTTCAGACCCCATCGACAGGCCGAGCGGGTGTGGTCCAGCTGACGTCACAGCGGACCGTTTTATGGCCGGGCAAGCCCCCGAGGACATGCACTGTCCTGTCGCACGGTTCCAATGTGCCAACGGGTCGTTTTCGACGCCCGGGGGACAGGTGAACGATGAACGAACTACCCCGCCACCTATTTGACGCCACACATCCCACACTGCCACGCACAGCCGCATGCGGACATGTTCTGGTCCAACGACAGAGGAAGGCCATGCACCGCAACCTTTCCTTTCGGGGGGGAAGCCTCCGACTTTTCCTTTTTGGGTATGTTTTGCTGTTTCCAGTGCCTTGGAAAGACTTTGGCGGTGGGGTCCCACGGAAACCCGCCAAAGTCTTTCCAAACTCGTTCCACTGTTTTTTATGGCCAACCATTTTTTCAAGCCGGCGAGCAGTGGGGTCCACCCCTTTGTCTCTCTCTTTTTTTCTTTTTTAACACCTGAGGAACTCCAGAGTTTGGTAGGAAATCGGAATATATGTGTTTTTGCACCGAGTACTACGGCGAGTAGTAGTTGCTCGTGCTGGTTTTACTTGTTGCACAGGGAACTGGCTCAGCGCGAGGGTTGATGGAGGCCTTGTTTCCTCTGCTTGCTCTTTTCCCCTTCCCTGACATTGTACTTTTGCCGTCGGCATTTGGTCTGGAATAAAGTTTTCCCTCTCCCTCTCTCAGGAAACAGAAAAGAACTATGCAAAAAAAAAAAAAAAAAAAAAACCGAAATCGTCAGCGGCAATCAACAGTGTGAAGAATACATGTCGGAACACCAAAGATCTTGAGCACTAGAACGGATTTCTTCCTCGTTGTCCTGTGCGCCCTCCTCCCCCCTCCCCTCCCCTCCCCTCCCCCTGCTTTATCCCAGCGGAGCATTTCATTTTCCTTTTTGTGGTCTTATTTTTTGTCCCCTCTTTTCCCCAACCGTTATTGTGTTCGTGTAACTCGACCACAGTTCGAATGGGTGTCCTTTTCATTGGGCCTCGCTGCACTACTCTTGAAAGGTGCAAAACGAGAGTGAATCTTCCGCTAGAACAATGAAAGATACAACGACATGATTTTTGTCTTTTGTGCATTTCAAGAGTAGTGCAGCGAGGCCCATTGTCTCAGAAGTTTTATGTGTGTACCGCTCAACTGGAAATGGGTTTGTCAAAAATAACAAGCACTCCAGATGGTCGGGGTCCTCCAAAGGACTTGGACGTGCAGACAGGCTAAAGTTTTTCCAGGAGCACCTATGGACGTGCAGGCAGGCAGGCTCAAGTTTCTGAGATGGGTCCTCTTGCAAATTTGGTACCTCCCAACGGATGTTGATTTTTAGAACTTATTTATTTGAGTTATATTGTACATCGTATCTATACAGAATTATGTGTACTTTGCGCCTCGCTGCACTGCTCGCCACATTCATAAAAGACAAAAAAATATGGCTGTGTATCTTTCGTTCTCATTTTGCACATTGGGTGAGCAGTGGAGTGGAACCCATGGTTAGAGGAATGAAGGAGGGAACTGCCGCTGATTTGCGGGCGAACATGGTTGGAAAGCTTAGCCTGGCGATTCGCAAATCTCTCATTTCGTCTTTTATATCTGTTTGCGAAAGCTTCGAGGGAAATGTCGTTTTTGGGGCATGCAGGCATCTGGAGGTGAACCAGCTGTCATGGGAGACATTCTCCGACCATACTGTACTGTACTGTAAAACGACGAAAGAAGGATAGTAAAAAAAAAAAAAAAAAAAAAAAAGGAAAGTGAGGAAAAAGACGCCTAGTTCTTTGAATAAGTTTGCGGGACGGCAATGCAGAGGACCATACGGTAAGAAAAGATGTGTCGGTGGATGTTTTATATTTTTAGCCTAGCTGTAAAAGAAAATACCCTAGCTATAAAGCACAAAATACCCTAGCTATAAAGCACAAAATGCCCTAGCTATAAGACAAAATACCCTAGCTATAAAGCACCAGTACATGGCCCCCGCCCAGTTGAGAACCCGATTGAGCCTGTCTTAAAATTTTGGAGGCTCCTGCGCCGTTGATAAAATAAATTGGCAGCGGGCGGTCCACGAAAGGGGCCGGCGACCGATCTATGCCATGTATTGGTGGGTATAAGAGAAAAATAGAAACCAAGCAGGAAAGGTAAAGGAAGGGAAAGTGACCGTAAGAGCGCGTTTTCACACTACAGGATTTCGTCGAGTGCATCTGTTGTCGAATAAGGTCAGCTGAGATCTTGGGAAGTCCGTGACAGTGAGGATGTACATCCTACTAAAGCGGTGGGGGGGGGAGGAGGTTGAGAGAGAGAGTCCCATAGCTCTGGGCCACCTAGCTGCCTCCATTCTTGACAACTAAGTTGTTGCTTTTTGAGATCATGATTCTTGCTTAAACCACCAGTACTTGGGCGGCGCCTTAGCGTTAACGCGTTAACGCTACGCGATTTCCACGGCCGGCGGGCCGTCGATAAATCGAATCGACAGCCCGCGCTGCTTTGAGATTTGGGCGGCCGGCGCGGCGCGCAGTGCCCAAGTACTGGTGGTTTAACCCCCACTTTTTCTGTTTAGGGTTTGAAGTAGAAGAGAAAGATAGCTCCGGCCTATCTATACCATACCAATACAATGGGAGCGCTTGCTCGACGCCGTGGGGCATGCGCTGTTGCATGAACTGTGGAAACTCTGTTTGACTTGTGGAAGGAGGGAGCCGTTCGTCGAGCACCTGTTTTGCTCACATCAGTACCCTATGTTTCCACAGTTTCTTGAGATCATGATACTTGCTCAACCCCATCTTTTTCTGTTTCCTTCTTGCGGGCGCAACCACCATCTCATGGGCAGGTGAAGAAGGGTCCTTTGGTGAAAAAGCCAGATGGTGTTTCGATGAGGACTCGAGCGACTATTTATCGGGCCAAGCGCCTGGAGGGAGATCCCGCCACCGATGTATGTGGATTGGTGACTGTCAGGCATCGAGGATTTGGTAGGAAATCAGCGGTAGCCTGTTTTTGTGAATTAAGACCGGGAAAAGGATGTTTTCTTTTGCTCTCCCACTGGTAGGTTTTTCTTTTGTTTTTGTTGTTGGGGTCCTATGGCTGTCCCGAACGTGTGTGAAATCACAACCAAGTTTTTTGGTTCGTGACATCACACACGTTTCACTCACGGCGAAGG